TACATAGGCATTTATCCTGCATATTTTGAGAAGGCTATGCTTACAAAAGGCTCAAACTAAAACAGAATTTTTGCACATTTTAATGCAGAACAACACTTCTAATCTAAATGCATCACACAGGAGCAAAACAGCATGCAAAAATCATACAATCTCTGTCAATAGCTCTGAACACAAATTGAATCACTTAACAAAAACCAAACAAACAGTGGCATTATAAGGGAGTATAAAAAGTTCCCTAAATGTGTTTCCCCCTACCGGTCAAATACACATAGAATGCACTTTAAGTGTGGATGTTCAGTGCCCCTCAAATATGCACTCAAATGCATGGCCTGGAAACTTCCACAATAGGAATACTGACCATAAAGGAAATGAGTCAAGTATCAACTAAAAAATGTTACAACCTGGACACATAAGAACAGCTGGGCCATTTTAACTGCAAGCTCCAAAAATCTACTGCTGTGACAGAGTAAAATAGCTTAAAAGAGCAAGAAAAAATGAAAATTTGCCTCATTTTGGTCTTTTGGAAGGGTAAACATCAAAGCACCAATTTAAGCTCAGATTTGTCCTTTACAAAATACGCTTTACATTTTGGTGAGTAGATATTTTGATCTATAGAAGAATGTTTTTTTTAAAGGCTATTGTGCCCATTACATATTGATTTAACTGAAGATATAGATGCAGAATTTCAATAATAGAAGAGTCTATGTTGCACTAAAAACAAACTGATAGTAAAATAAAATATATTTGTGTAATACTGTTTCATCTCTTTCATCATTATAGGAGTGCTTGGATTATTTCCCTGCAAAATTATTTCTATTTAAAGTGAAATTTTTATGAGGTTCAGAAAATACAGTGCTTTTATATTCAGCTTGAGAAAATTTCAGTTGCACAATCTTCTTATGAAATTCTTTATGAAATTGTGTGTTGTTTGTGATAGATTCAAGCTTCTCTCAATGTATATCAGAAAGCTTCTCTGTCTGTCTGTCTGTCTCTCTCTCTATATATATACATATTTGCACTGCATTCTATCAGATTCTCCAATAACTTCTTCATCTTGACTTGATTCTTTTAAAAATTGGAGAAATTTAACAATTGGCCTGTGTCAACTTAAAAGAAACATTTAATTTGAAGATATCATGTATATGTTCAAAAATAGTTTTGTGTTACTTGAAAAGCACAAAAGAAAAATGTGATCATCTCCCTAGACCTACAAGTACTACTCTGGAACATGGTGTGCATAATCTTGATAGGTGAAACCAGGCCAAGAGCAGCTGTGGGGTACAGGGTTAGTTGATGATGATGTTCAGAACACAGGATGGGGCAGACAGCTGTTCTGAGAGGTGAGTGAAACCATGAATGTAACATTTCAGGCAACTGGAAGAAGTAGGTCAGTGATTTAGAGCCTGATTTAGAGCCTTAGATAATTCAGCACTTCGGACAGTTCCCAAAGCATCCTCTTCCTTCTGGTCCTTAACCTTTGTGTCCTTAACCTTTAGAGCACCAGACCTATTCATTTAGCTCCACCTGGTGCTGTCTCCCCTCTCCCTGCACGTGAACTTAATTCCAAGAGAATGATGTGCAGTCTTCCAAAGAGCTCTTTGGCTTGTGCTTCACATAAAACCCTCATTTTCACTACTAATGTGAAGCTTCACAGGACCGTTCACATTACTTGGAATTATGCCAGGTTTGTGGCCCAGCTTTGTTCTATTAATCAATTCTAGGCTATTAACAGATTTTTTTAGTCCTGTCATTCATAAATGTAAATTCAAACCTGATTCATTATGAAAAGATGAAGGAGAGATCATTCAAGTCAGAGGAAAACATCCCTTCACCACAACCAGGTCACCCGAGCTGTTCACATGTGAGGTCACTCAGCCTGTAGTGTCCTGTAGTGAGTGAAATGAGGTATTCAGGCTGGCGAGGTGGGTGGAGGAGAAGAAAGACTTTCAGAGCCAATGAGAATCCGCCTGGGGCCATGTAGCATAACTGTGGATGCCAACTAAAGCAGGTCAGGCCTTCCCTGTAAGCTCTGGTAAGTGAAAGAATTGCTCTTTGGGAGTAAGATTTTTGACCCAATTTTCAAGAAGTAGAACCATAATCAGGGCCATCTATTTGATTTCTAATCAACAAAACAATGGGCAAGTTCATTTTAGGTATATCTCTCTCTGCTTAAAACTAGAGCAACTGACGATGAAACACAAATTCCTGCATATTAGATGCTTAAAGAAATACATTATTTCTTCACGATTACTTTGTGAGTGTGTGTTTCTTTTTTGAAAACCAAGTGGTGGGCATGAAGCACAAAAACAAGAAGATTTGATTATTCATTGATAAGCAGCTAAACCAGGTATTTTATAAAGGATCCTTTGATCTTTGCTACTAAGACAAGGGAAGCAATTGTCAGTGTCCATTTTGGGAGGCACGTGGAATGGGTAAGTAGGACAGGAGACACCTTTTTCATTTTAGTTGCATTTGTGGCCTTGTTGTTGTGGGCTGCAGACTGGATTTTTGGGAGCTCCTTTTAGTAGTAAACTGTTACCTGAAAGTCTATTAACTTAATGCTGCAAGAAACTCAATCCCTTGTTATTTTCTTTGGTATCTGCATGGAATACCACAGATGGATTTTCCAGTCTCCTTAAGGGCTCTAAAGAGGTGAGCAAGGAATGCAAATGCCAGGAGAGAAGTGAGCAAGGATCCGTGCACTGCGAGAGGGACACAGGTAATATAGAGCACCCTGACATTTATTAGAGCATCAGCAAGCCAGGCTGGTACTGGGAAGGCCCCACAAATGCGAAAGCTCTCACTCAGGTCTGTGTTTGTCCCGCTGAGCAGCACACGACTGCAACTGTACAATCTGAAAGCACCACCAGCAGAAAAAGCATTGCTTGTCATTCTGGACAAGTAGTTCCTTAAGTGGTAGTTCTATGGCCAGCCCTGCAGGAAGGCAGTAGGTGTCTTAGAAACTGAACATTACTGGATTCTTAGCTAAAGTTGTAGGAAAACCTAAAGATTCAGAGATTTGAGAAATTTTTCTTGGTGGCTACCCAAGTTGGCTATGTGATCTGAGGAAAGAGATTTGCATTTACCTATGTACACACTTTATATTTGTAAATAATGGCATGGTATCATGGATGATGTCACTTTTGGAAATTAGACTTATTACACAGCCTCAGCTGTGTGTACTCTGGAGGTGATGAAGCAGGGTGTACTCTCAGTACTCGAAAGATGGTAAAGAAGAATCAGGCTGATTGACGATGGCTTACAAAACTTGGTAACATTTACTTGGTCTTCGGATATTAACTTTAAAAATTAAATGGAACCTGAAATGCAACCTAAACTATATTTAAAAATACTGATATTAAATTTCATAACATCAAGTATAAGAACAATGAAAAATTTTAAATAAATGTTTGCTTTAATTTTTTCCAGCTTACATATTTTGATGAAACAGTCTTTATTTTGATAAACAAGATAGAAAAAGCCATATTGTTAATCAGGCTGCTCTTGGAAGGGTCCTGTCTGTTAAGTCATTGGTTTTTCACTGCACATACATTTAAATAAGGTAATTAAATGCTATATATTACTATTGTTAGATATGTAGACTAGTGACTGTCACTGTCACAAAACCCATCAGAAAATATTTTATAAAATCTATTGCTTATTTATTCTGCTTATGTGATGTATTTTCCATGATTTATTCAGAGAGCACTTTCATACATAATTTAAAGCAGCTTTACATGATCAACACAGCTTATTTACAATATTTTAAATTAATTTCTACTATCTTTTATTTTCAACAATATAATGAAGATATAATACTTACACAAAGTCATTTCCTGTATATTTTTGCCAATTTTCTGAAAATATGACAACAAATGAATATCTCAGCCATAATTTAGACAAATGTCTCAGTTTAAATTATCTTAGGAATGCTGGATAATAGAAGAAATTTCAATACTTTTAACAATCTCAAGATACTAATTTTGTAAATAGCTATAGTCCACTAAACTATGTAGCTAAGCAAATGGAGGAAATTATTGACTGTCCAATCAACTTATTTTATGCCAGGTGGTAGAATTCAGTCAGATGAGCTAAATTATTACTTATATAAATTTTGATTTTAATATCATTTATTATAGTTCTGTAAAACTAGATACAACTTTGAATTTAATAATAGTATATGTGCATATGAATTACATACACAAATAGCTATGAAGTAGGAATGAATGGTCTTGGTTTCTACTTTCCAGTAATGCTAAAATCTTATTACACATGCACAGACACACAGCTTCATTAGACATAAGCCAAATGCACGTAAGTGTTACATGATTGTCCAAACATGCTCATAGCAGCACATTATTATTTATTTTCAGGGCATTCATTCAGCCTTTTACAGATATACTACAAAGTTTCCACGACCCTATGTAGAGCTACATTAGGACTGAAGTAAATTTTGGGTTGTATTATGCTGCAGTGTCCTTTCCACTGAAGCACACTTTCCAAATTGAAGGTTTTGGGTTCATTTGGTGCTCACATCTGACTCGGGGAGACGTGCTATGGGAGTGGAATGTAGGGATTCATGTGCAGGTCACATTTTTGTGTCCCCTCATTTTGCAAGGGAGGCCAGAGAAAGCAGCCAGTGAGAGGAGCAAGCTGAGAAAATCACACACAGATGCTGACAGGACTGGACGCCAGCGCTGCCCCCAACTCTCCAGTAGAAGAGTCCCAGAGTTAGAGACACTCTATGTAGAGATTACAGCTCAGCCTCAAGAAACAACCACAAGGACACTTCACTAGGTACAAATATACGTTTTTCTCTCAGGCTTTTAAGAGTAGAATTAATTCAGATGTATTTCCACTTGCTCCCAAAAGTGTCTTGTTAAAGCTCTCAAACCAGAACCACAAGCACATTGCTAATCCAGTATTTTCATATATTTCAATCAAGTAAAAAAGTAAAAGAGACCCAGCAAGCAATGGATTTCTCAGGAAGGTGTGCTTACCTTCATAAGTCCCACTTTCCAGGAGAGCCCCGCTTTTCTCCAATTCCATAAAATCTTCCACAGTGATGAAAATGTAGTCCACTCCCGGGACCTCGCCCTCCTTATGTGGCCTTGTGGTGCCTGAAGATGGGAAATTAAACAAAAGAAAGACGCTCAATGAGTTGTTGCTGAACTTCAGAAATACCACCATACTTCTGAATATGCAAACACACTTGTTTCTGCATCATGGGAGCTGGCAGTTTGCATTTGTCCTTCTGTTTGTTTGGCAACAGAAAGTAGCAGAGGGTAAAGATAAAAGTAAATACACAAAGCGATTTTTCTCTATCAAGCTTGTAAAGAGTTTGCTGCCACAGAAGTGGGCTGCAGAGGGTTTTTTGGTGAAAACTGCAGACCACTGTGTCCCTTTTGAAGAGGTGGTTTGAACAGTGGCCCAGGAGTCTGCAAGCTCAGCCAGTTACACACTGCACTCCTATGAATGGCCCCCTATTGTTCAGTACAAAGCTGTGCTATGCCACAAAAGACAATGGACCATAGAAGTCCTAGCAAAATGTCAATGTATCTTTAAAGTTTTGTGACCTGATTCCTTTGGGGGAGATTATCTGTTAGATTTTATTTGTTGATTTTGCACCCAAAATACCTTGGGTTAGATGCATAGGCATAACATTTTTACCCTTGCAATTCAATAACTGGAACTGAGCAATAATTAAAATGGTTATGGTGGTAACATCATCTAACTTCGTAGGGGAAAGTTTTCCTTGGCTTCGTTGTACAGGCTGATACCTCACTGCCCCTGCCGTGGCCTTCATTTTTTCCTTCATTACTGATTCTAATTCTGATTGAACTGGGAGGTGACACCTTACATGGGGCCACTGTTCCTGCCCCACTTACAGTGGAAACTGAGGTACAGAGGCTCAGCTGAGGATGACAGCTGCTCAGCTTGCGGGAACACAGCTTCCAGGCTGGGTGTGCAGCTCGCGATGCTGGACCACGGACACAGAGGAGTGTCTTCCGTTCTTCCTCTTCTCCTTTCCCTAGCCCAGTGGCTCTTCCCTTTTGAGCACTTTCTTTCCTTTCGCTTTCACAATATTGATTGTATAGTTTGGATCTTATTTACTCTTTTTTTTTAAAACAATTTTACATTTTAATTTTACTCTTTGAATTTAAAATCTTTATCAACTTGGTCATGAATATGGGTGGTTAGTTATTTTTCTGGTTCAAAATTGAACTGCAAATGAGAAGTATAAGCCAATGTCAGGATATATGATCACTTGGAAAGCAGATTCACTGTAAAAAATTTTATCAAATACATTTTCTTTGTTTCTTTTTTTTTTTTTTTTTGGTACCGAGGAACGAACTCATGACCTCGTGCTTGCCAGACAGGTGCTTATGCTGCTGAGCTAAATCCCTGGCTCAAATACAATTTCAAAGATGTGAACATATTATTTCCTAAAATTAAATTGTACAACCCTTCTGTGGGAATTGCAAAACACTTTTTTCTATAATCATGCTTAATTACTTCCCCAAAATTTGTTATTTTATCTAGTTAACTAAGAATTTCCTACTCCTTTCATGCTATAAAATATAAACCTCCCACACCTAGTACACATAATGTTGTCAAATTAAGGTTTCTATGAGAACCTTAATTTCCAATATCCTGACTTTTATGTATTTAACACTTATGAATTAAAAGGGCACAAAAAGAGTTTTTGGCAATCAATTTGCTTTTTGATTTATTTAGCATACACTCTAATCATTAAGAAAAATCACATAACAAAGATTCAATTTTCCTACTAATTTATTTGCATATTTCAGAAGTTACATGCTTTGCTCAATGAACTGCTTGCATTCTGGTAATGTATTCCTAGCACGAGGTGCACACAGGAGCCCACGCTTGAGGGCAATTTCCAGGGATGCTGACATTTCTGGGGCAACGCCTGGTACTAAACCCTCTGAGCATGTTTGTGGCAGCATTCTTACTGGCTTACAGAGTGGTTTTACACCTCTGTCTTGTACCTCAGACCTCTGTGCTGATTTCTTCCCTCTCTGATGCCTCAGTGACAGCTCCTATCCCTCGGTGACTGGCCTGCTTGCTACTGGAGAAACCTATGCTCCACAATCTCAAAAGCTACAATCTTGGTCTCTGACATCAAACTCACATTCTCTTTTTTTCTGTTCTAATTACGATTTCTACTTCCTTGATCTCTTCATTTTTCCTCCTGTTTCCTGAACGTGGCTTCATCTGCCTCCCTGACTGCTATGGGAGGAGGAGCTGTTGAGAACCTCTCTGTTCCTTTAGCCCCCTTCATCACATCCCACTCAGAATCAGCCCTGAGCACAGGTCCTCCACTGGAGCTGCTACAGAAACTGTATGCTTCCACTGACAAAATACTCTGCATATTCGGCTTAGTCAGTTTGATTCCGAGGACTCTGGGATTCCTTGGAGAACTCTTTGGGCCTCTCTGTCACACACCACCATTTTCAATACTCAGTTTTGACTTTCTACAGAAGTCATGAATGAGCTCCATCTTTTCTGGGTAAAGTAGGAGACTACATGGAACCAAATTCCATAACATTTTCTACTTTCCATTTTCCTTACATTACCTTCCTATTTTCTCTTTTCTTCAAAAACTAATGCTTGATTGGAACTATCTACCCACCTTCCTAAGATAAATTCCATCTTAGCTTCCTTTCAATTTTTTTTTTTAATCGGTACCAGAGATTGAACTCATGACCGCCTGCTTGCATGGCAGGTGCATATGCCGCTGAGCTAAATCCCCAGCCCCTATTTTGTGTTTTTTAAAAACCAAAGTTACACATGCAGATATTTAAAACTTTCAAGCAGTCTTACAAAGCTTGTTATTTTTAAAAGAAAATCTCTAGCAGACCCCCCAGATATGCAGACAGACAGACACCCCCCCCCACACACACACATACACAGACACATTTTCTTTTATCCAGGAGCATACATAGTCAATACTCTTAACTGATTCTTTTGGCTTAACTTCACGTGTGTTAGGAATGCGCCTTTATTTTAATAACTACTTCTTAACTTTCCAGCACAGAAAAGGAGGATTTCACTCTGGCTGGTGCACAGTTCCATCCTCCCATGTACACTACTTTCTCCTTTCCTTCTCCCATTCTTCCATAGGGAAGAAATACAGTAAACAAATACTGTATTAGTCACTTTTCTAGTTGTTGAGACAAATACCTGACACAGCTAAAAGGGAGACAGGCTTAATTTGGGTTGAGTTTTTAGGAAATTCAGTCCGTAATTAGCAGCTCCGAAGCACAAACATCATGGTGGAAATGTGTGGTGGGGCAAAGCTGCTTAGCTTATGGCAACCAGGAAGCAGAGCATGGGAACACTGCGGGCCAGGAAAGTGTGAGGAACCACACTCTGACCCCAAGGACATGCCTCCACGATCCACTCAAGAAGTGTGCCCAACCCCCAGGCCAATCCAAAAGCCTTCCAGGCTGGGACATGCCAGAATCATCGCATCCTGCTCCTTGTAAACCTCACACCTGAACACATCTCCTTACACCATGCTTCATCTCCCAGTAATGATGCCAAGTTCATAATTGCACCTACTGTAACACAGTTATTCTGAGTACAAATGGAAACAACATTGCTTTCCCCAAAGTCTGAACAGTTGCATATTTTTCAATAATCCAAGTCAATGTCTCTTCTGAGACACAAGGAAAATGCTTATCTGTGAATCTCTGTTAAAAAAAAAAGTCAAGCTCCATAGTTCTAAGGTATGATGGTACAAGGTGAACATTCCAAAATGGAGGCATGGGGGAATAGAAAGAATGTGACTAAAGGAACACTGAAATCCAGCAGGCACACATTAAGGCCTTGTCTTGGTTATTTTTCTCACATTGCTGAGATAAAATACCCAATGTCCAAAATTAGGGAAGGAAAGGTAAGTATTTAGCTCACAGTTTATGGAGCTTTCAGTCTAATATCAATTGGCTCAACAGTTCATGGTGACAGAAGACAGCAACAGCAACACGAGCAAAAAGGGGAGGAGACAGAATAAGCCTCTTTCCTTCCTTAGATTGTACGCAGGCTACCCGCCCCGTGGTGGGTGTAGCATTCACCTCCATAATCTCAGCATTGGGCCACGAGTCAGTCACAAACCCTAGAATCCCAGCCCCATGAATGCATGAGGTTTGGGCAGAGGACATCTAGACACAAACCATAACAGCCCTGTGTCTCCATATCCAGCACTGGGGCACACGGTGCTGCGATATGAGTTCCAGAGGGCTCATGTGGACAGCCCCACCTCTATGGCCTTGCTGTTTGCAGCCCACATGGCCTCTTGCCTTGCTCTGTCTCTGTTCACTGCCTTCAGCTTTCTTCAGTAGATGTCTCGTGCTCCTGACATCTCAAATAGAAGCTCCTGAGGCTTCTTTCACACTTTTATTTTCATCCCACAGCTTCATGTACTGATCTCTCATGGCCTCTGCCTGGCCTCCCAGGCCTTTCTTTGAAATCTGGCTGGAAGCCTCCCACCTATGGCTCTTGTCCTGCATGCTGATGAAACCAGCATCACATGGACGATACCAGGTCTGTTTTCAGCAGAAGTAGTAGCCTGGTCCCTTTGGACCATGGCAGCAGCATCCTCTCAGTACTTGAATGACTAAGGATGGTGAAACTAATATAGGAAAACAATTCCCTAGGAGATAGGAGGTCACTCTTCTCAAATACAAGCTTAAAATTTTGCACCCTTGAGTCTGTGATAGGTGGGGTCTTGCTGATGTCTGAGACGCCCTCAAGTCATCTTTTTTCTTGTCCCTGCACAAAGCACTTGGTTCTTTTTTAATGCAGCAAATCGTTTTAGCAACGGCATCCCTAACTTTAAATAGTGTTCCTTCCAGGCCAACATTTAAGTTTTTTACATTTTTATGCTGTTTTTGGTCCCTTATTTTCCACGATAAATTTGACTAAAAGCAGCTGACATATTCATATTGCAGCCTAAAACTGAGCTGCTTTGAAATTTCATTTAAAAGAACAATTAGCCCATTGCCCCTTTATCTCATCTCCTGTAAAGTCTCAGGACATGGACCAAATGTAGACAAATTCTCAGCCAGAGGACAACACACACAGGCTCCAACTC